TTTATGTCACTTGACAGACTTTATTTTTTTAAAGTAGGAGTAACACTGCTGGTCAGCATGTTTCGGTGTACTAAGAACTGAGGATTGGGTTGTCAGTGCTAGGCCCAGCTTGCCCTTAGCAAACACTTTCTGCAGCAAACTGAGGGAAGAATGTGAAAGAGAACATAACTTGTTGGTAACCAGTATGGGACAAAAATAAAAAACCCAAACCCCAAAACCTACAGTGTGTGACTTCCATTTATGCCACGGTGGTGAAGAAGTCAAATACCAGGGTTCTGACCACTCAGACTGTGTTCTCTGTTGTATTTACAATGAAAGTGGAATTTTATTCACTGGTATTGCTCGTGCTTCAGGTGCTGAAATGTGTTTAGGAAAATGTGAGAAATTGCTCTTAATACTGTAAAATTAATTAGCAGGAATTGAACTTTGTCATTTGTGGAGAAGATGATTGTGGTTTTTTATGATGAATGTACATACTATCTTGGGGATGAGATCATACTACTGGGGAAGAAAAACCCCAAAAAACATAGATCTGAGTTTTGAAGGAGTTGTCAGCTGAGTGTTTTGGCAACTTGACCATGTTCGTGGAAGAGGATGATTTACTGAGAACATGCTGAAACAGCACATTCCCCACAGCTTCAGTGCTTCAGTTTGGTATCAACGCAGGGTGTGAGGCAGGTGGAATCCCATAGTGCTGCTGTTACTTTTTTATTCCCGAGAGGTCAGGTTCTGTTCTCACGGCTAGGGTGATACTGGTAGGAATTGCATGGGAGCGTAACGTGGGAGGGTGTTCCTGGGTGATGTTGACCCCTTGTGCCAGAAGCTGTACTCTCCCTTTAACAGTTGTGTTCTTGCTTTGCAACAAGTGTTGATTTGCGTTGCCACAGAAGTTACTGCAGTTATTGTAAGCAAGAACTTGGTTTATTTACCAACCGTAAAAGTAAATGGTGTTAAACGGCTGTGTGACTTGCCTGACAGATGGCTGTGAAGGTACTAGGTCAACAGCGTTTGGGGACCGCGTAGTTTACAAACTAGGCTCTGTGACCTCCCACGCTGCTTCACTGTATGAACAAAGTGACTGTGGGCAAGTCCCAGAAAACTACTGTTCCCCCCAAGCTCTCACCAATATGTCATTTTCCCTGCCATCCCTTCGCGTCCTCCTCCTTGGTCTGTTCTTTCTTGGTCCCTTCCTTAGCATTCTTGTAAGGAAATCAATGCGTTTGATGGAGTTTCAGTAGCTGTGTAGCAGGTATGAAGTTGCAGTGCTTTTACAAAGTACACTGTGGTCATGACACTTCACATGGTTACATGTGTCATTTCTATGTGGTTTATTTAATAAAGAGTTTTTCACTAGAACCTGGTGCTGTGTGTCCTGTTGCTTCATTTATAGGCTGCTACCTACTCTGTCCTCAAGCTTCTCGTTGGAACCATACTTCTGACTCCTATCTTACAAGGTACAAATGTACCGTGTGTATTTTGGGACAAATACTGAGCTGTTCAAACTGGTTTCGATGAAGTTGCTTTGTTCTTTGTTTTCTCTGTTCAAAGTTTGTTATTCCACTCTACGCCACCTAAAACTAGATTGTAAGCTCTTGAGCAGGAACAGTCCTAGTTTGTAAAATTTAGCTTCTGTAAAAAGCAAAGTGTTGAATAAAAACCAAAACACGAAACTAATGCTGTGCTTAGTGCAGCACTGTTAGTCGTCATTCCATGTGCGGGGTTACAGCAGGATGCCGTGTCCCTTCCACGAGGGCTTGTTTGCAGTGTGCCTCTGCGTGAGTGTTCAGCCTCGTGTGTTGTAAACGATGCTTTAGGGTGTTGCATTCTGATGAAGTAGTAAATCCATGTTTGTTTCTGATCGATGCTTCTGTAGAAGAGGTACGGATCTGACAGCAGCTACTGGCTAATGCTGTTCCAGTAATAACGGGGAAGGTAATCTGTGTGCTTTGTGATTTCCCCACCACCCAGCGTTTTTCTCTATGCTTACTCAATCTGACCTTTTCTAACCTTTTTGGAGATAACTTCTTTCCATTATTAATGTAACAAAACCAGTTCACCACTCAAATGTTATGGACTACTTAATAGCTTTACCATGGGAACAGTATTTAAATGACAAGTCCCACATTTGTATTTGCATTTTTTGTTGCTGTATCAACAGCTAAATCTATGATCCTCAGCTTTGCAATTTTCTAGCAGTATAACAAGTCTTAAAGTGTTTTCATTGTGCCTACCTCAGAGATGCTTTTCTCTGTGTCAGTAAGGTAGAACGCAGCAGTAACAGCTTTTTCACTAGATACCTGGCTCCAGAGTAAGTTTAATACCGCGTCATGTCTTTTTACACAGCATAGTTCCTGGTTTGTATGCTTGGGATTTTGGTTTCTTGCAAGTTACGATCTATCGACAAGAAAGCCAAGGTAGACTTCACCTTTTACAACCATTTCAGTAACAAGTTTTCTTTAACGATGCTGTTTTCCTGCATAACTCCTTGACTCCTGTACAGTGTGTCCTTTTTGTGTTCAGGTTGAAAATACGGGCTAAGGCCATTGTATGAAGCACGTTAAAAGTAGATTTGGGAACCCTTTGCCTTGGGAGGATAGCTTGCTATAAAGCCTGCTCTTTCCTTACCTGTCTAGCCTAACTTTCACAAATAATTTAAGGATGTGAAAATGTAAGGTGTAGCCAATACTAAGCAGTGTTTGGGTTTTTGTTTTCTATAAACAGGCTAGTCACAGAAAGGGAAGACACTTCAAAAAGTATCAACAGGTTTTAGGTGAAACTTAATAGCAGTCTATTAAAACTGAAAACCCAGGACATTGTTCTGAATTCAGCCTGCAGTGTTCTCTGTTCTGTGGGTAGGTAGCGGGAGGTTTGGAAAATTACGTAGTGCGTCCAGACAGAACGCTTGGTGTCAATTCACCTGAGATATTCTGTAGGGGTGTAGTTGCTAGTTGACTTCTCAGAAACTGAGATTCCTACATAAACTTGTAGAAATGCAGCTGTTGAACAATACCAAGAGTGCAATTAGCTGAGGGCAGTTCATGATAATTTCCAATCTGCAAGTTACAGTGAAGGGAATGGGGTTGGGGCTGATGTCTTCACATGGGACGTGAAGTAGATTTAAATAAAGCTCACAATTCATCATACGTATCTGTTACCTGTTGCATGTTTTGGTTGAAGTTCATGAAGTAGCGATTAAATAAATTGCTTGTGAATGCCAATTTGGATAGATGTGCTTCACACACATCTTAACTACCAGCAAGAAATTTCAGGGCCTTGCTAATGAACGTCTCCGCAATGAATTTACCCTATCAATTTGAGGCTGTGGCAAAACTGATAAAAGGAACAGATGCACACATATATTCAAAGAAATCTTTTAATATAAAATGCAGAATAAATTGTTTGAAATAGCTGATTTCAGTATCAGTACTTCAGTGCATTTTGCACTCTGAGGCAGTGCTTTCTTTTTAGAAAATACCACTTGATGCTACCGGTTACTGTAAATACAAGTGCAAATAAACAGCATGATTTACATGCGAGTGGCATAGTTTATTTCTTTAAAAGATTTCATTTGGCATTTAAACTTGTATTGCATGTATTTGTAGTTTTTTACGTGTTTGGTGCAAGTGCTTTTTTTAACATACCTAACCATAACGTTGCTACACTGTTGTCATACCGTGACCAGCAAGCTCTTTTTTTTTTAATATAAGGTTTATGAGGTTTGTTTATAAAAGATAGCAACAAATACTTTTTATATCTCGTTAATATTAGTAATTATTTTAACATTTACAAACTAGTATGCCTCTTAACATTCCTTCTTTAGTATTCATTATCTGTCTTTTTAGGCCATCTTTATTGCAGACCCTTTTCAGATTGTAAAATAGAAAAGGATAAGCTGTTGTGAATAAATGTTGTCTTTCTCATAGCACAAATAAATATCAAAACCAAAAGTTCTTCATTCAAAGCCACTATGGGAGTGTAACCTCGTTATTACAAGTACAGATAAATAGTAATTTGCTTCAATTTAATTTATTTTAAGGAGCTTGGGAAAATCTAAAAAAAAAAAAAACAAACACCCAAACCAAAACACCCCCCCAAACCAACTTTAAATCCATAACATTGAAGATACTTAAAAAATACCAGTTTTTAAAAGCTAAAACCCCCACACTTTAGTAATTCTCCTTGAGGAAAGTATCCAAATGAGGGGAAAAGGCAAGGTACAGAAGTAAATATATCACAGACTAGGAAAGAGAACAGGAACTTGTTCACCATCACTCAGTTTCATGGAAGAAAGCCGAGAATGATTCGGTTGCAGAGGATGAAGGTAAGGCAATATTGAATCAGATACTATTTTTCGGAGTGTATTTGCACATTGACCATGAGTTGTAAAATTACTTGGTATGTTATGTTTGCTTGGAGCTATGATGGTGACAGTAGTGAGGAAAAATGCACTGGCCTCCTGCGCCCCTCTCCTCAAAGGACAAGTAGGAAAAGCACAACAGTTTATCTCTTAGCAATACCTAAATCCACAGTGAATTTAAGGTGAGGATGAACTTGAGCTACAATTTTTCTTTCAGTGCTAAAAAAGAATAAGGTCACTTTCTGTATGAAGAATCAAGTATTCAAGCCTAAACCACGTTTCTCTTCCATGTGTAACTTTAAGCTGAAGCTTGCTTTTTTTCCCCCCTGCTGATGTTCTCCCTTCCCCATCATCAGAAACTAAATTCCTAGTTTTACACAGGCATGTATAACTACACTTACACTGATGGCCTAGCTCCTTTATTCTAATTAAAACTAAACAAATTTCCTCATTCGGAAGCCTCAGCTGGTAGACCTTCTAACAGGTCACAGTCAGCTGGTTTGCCAGACCCTTGAATGTGCAGTCTTCCTCCTCAAATATAGTCTTTTCTGTTTGTACTGCTGTAATCACTGACCTCCAGTCTTCATGCAAATATCCTAAGGAATACTTCATTCTTTCAGGAAAAATAAAACCGAAGTGATCTTCAGCCATCTTTCTTCTGTTTCTGCTCATTTTCGCTATCTTGTTTCTGTTCTGATTTGACCAAGTGTTTGGGAATTATGAAAACACTGCCACCGCTACTGCAATGAATGACACATTGGCATGGGTTAACAGGTCTACCCTGGTCATCCCTCAATCTACTGAAGATGTCACAATACAAGTTGTGTAACTTTTGCTTCATCTTGCTGATCGATCTGCTACACTGAGAGTGCTCCTTTTTAAGGCTCTCCTTTTGTGTTTGAAGATTACGTATGTCTTCTTCCAAGTCAAGAAGTGCATTCAATTTACGTTTACGACAATTTTGGGCAGCAGCTTTGTTTTTTCCTCTTCGTCTGATGACACGTAGATGTGATACTTGAGTATCCATCAGATGGTTCTTTGCTAGCATAGTGTTGAAAGAGTCGACAGGCATGCTCACAATTTCATCTACCGAAAATGGTATTCTCAGAGCTTTTGCATCACTGCTAACATTTGTATCAGTAGAATTATGGCACCTATCCTTTACTTCATTGGGTTTCTCCATCCACATCTGCTGCTGATGCTCTGGAGTGGATGCTGCTTGACTTGGCAGCTGATTATAAGCGTGGTTATGAAGAAACTGCTGAAGTGTGGCTTCTCTAGAACACTGTGAATCACCTGGATATTCCACCTGTCCATATTTACTGTGTTCTTGCCTATGGCCACCACCAGCTCCTAAGCCATGAGAAGAAAAAGATTTAACATCGTTGCTGTACCCAACAGCACCTTCACTGCAGACTGAGTGAAAGGTGGTGCTGTGACTTGAATTCAAAGACAGACCCAAATCTGAGCCAGGTTCTTCAAAGAGCTGAGAAACTTCTATAGGATCAAAGCCTTCCTCCGAAGCCAAAGACATGAGTTTAATTTCATCGAAATTATCATCATGGGCTGTTAGGTTTCTAATGTCAGCAGCTGAAAACAGCCCTGTCAAATTTGACCCAGGAAGTAGTGATTCTGGATTTGCAATATTAGAGCTTGACTGAGGAAAAGACTCTTGCCTTTGTAAATGTCTCATTTCTGAATTTGCTTGGGTGGGGTAGTCTGTTCTTAGTAGCGTGGCATCACAAGGGCTGAAACAGTGGGAAAGTGTCTGGGTCAAACTTACATTATGGTGTGAGGATGATGAGTCTCGGCCTCTACTAGAACTAGCAACTTGTATATCTTCCAGTAAACTCACCTAAAAGATGACGGGGGGGAAAAATGGGATCTTTTATAAAATGAATGCCTCTACATTCCTCACCTACGCAGTCTTGATCCATCTATTTTTTTAATATTCCACTGTTTGAATCTATTAAAGTAAAAATTTTATACATTAAACTCTTCTTGTAGCTCTTACGCC